AATGCTGTTTCAAGAACTAAACTTGAGAGAAGCAAATCTTGCTTCTTTTTCATGCATCCACTTACGCAGCATTACCCACTCTTGTCATTTCTGCGGTAATGCCATGCTCTTGCATAGCTCGAACCCTCTTGCTCGATACCTTTCTGTTTAGTTTTCTGAATTCAGAACCAGTAACACTGAACACGAGCAGTAAATACAAACTTTACTTCTTGGATCTCATGAGCTAAGTCACATTTTGGCTTGGAGACCTACAAAAAAAGCCCAAAAGCCACAGGAGGTGGGGCTGCTGTGGCAGTGAGGGATACCCTTCTTTGTCGGTCACTGGTAAGCAAACGGCCCAGCACATTGTCGGGGCTGTGGGGCACTGCAAAGCTGTAGAAATAGTCTTCTGAATGAGACCACTTGCTGCCACTAACGTTTCCTTGGTTTATTTCACAAAATATGCTGGCCAGGTTTGAATACAGTAACACATTTCAGCTGGATGGAATATAACTATTTAAATTAAACCAATAGGTATTGCCCTTTCTTCCTTAAAAAGACTTAAGTAACACATCAAACTGAAGTAAGGTACATATTTTTTTTTTTTTTAAAATCCTAGATGCAGAATGATTAGCGTGTTCCAGCAATGAAGTGCCTGTATATCAACATCGCATGCAGTAATCCCACGTACACCCATTCACTATGCTCTTACATTTTGCTTGCCACAGGCCAGATCTTCACCAGTGGTGCAGCTGCTCAGGGCTACTTAAGGAACACAAGTGGGTTTGTAAAACTGGAGATTTCTGTATGTGGTAAGACTTCTAGCTAGCATACCGTCAGCAGGATAAGCTTTATAAATGTCTTTTCTCAGCCCTGCTGTCACTCCTGCTTCTACCTGTGGAGTGTGCTGCAGGAAACAGGGTTTGGCCAAGAACCCCTGTGCTTCCACCGTAGGTGTTTTCCACCAGTGGGCTATCAAAAACCCAAACCAGAATTGTTAATACAAAGTGATTTTGTCAAAAAATTTATTTTCTCACTTTTAAAGCTTTTATTAGTTAGTGTCTTAAACTTCCAGGTGGATCCACTCATGACAGTGCAGACATTTATAATAGCTTCAACAAAATGAGGCAAAGGTTTAATGAAGCATTATCTTCTATATTTTATTTAAATTAGCTTTGAGTTAAATGAGACAAGCATTATTGCTAGTTGTTACACTGCATCATAGGTTATAATAACTTGGATAACAGCTCTGTTTGGTACAGTGTTGGAAATTGCATATTAATGAGCGTGTGAATTGGACTGTTTTCTGGTGTCTGTGAACATGGGGATATATGGATAGTTATGCACATGCTCAGTGAAGTTATTTTTTGTAGATAATACAATTTTTATAAGACAGTGGTCAAGCTTTGGCCTTACTACTCCTACAGGGAGCCTCTTTTGATCAACCGAGAACTAAAGCTCTAGAAGCTATTTCACAATTCTAGATTATTTATGGCAAACTTGCACCTGTTATTCTTGTCCCAAACAGATCTTTTGTTGTTTTTGTGATGTTTACTCTCCTGATTTATTTAGAGATCAGTCCTATATCCTTTTCAGCCTTTGTTTTTCTAGGCTAATGCTTCTATTTTTGTTTTGATTGTTAGTGGATATGATACTCAAGCAACTTGGTTTTCCTGAAAAACAAAATCTGTCTCATCCATAGTCAGTGAAACTTAAAAAAAAAAAAAAAATTCTTGCAGTGATTTTTGTCATGGTGACTGATAATGGAAGTCATTGACAATACTTACTTTGAATTTGCAGAACATGCAGCTCAGAAGTTCCAGGGGAAAGCACCTTTTCATGTGCTGCTAGCCATTATCCTCTCTCATTGGGGTAAACAATTCCATAACATGCTGAAGACCTCACCGGGAGCGCAGTGTTACATGAAATGATACAAAAAATCAGGACCAGGCCTGTAAGTTATTTCAAGGCTAATTGCTGTACAAAGCTTCAGCAAAGCAATTTTCTTTAACCTGGTCTGCCAGTCTGGAATTGCTCTGTAGGGTACTTGCTGTATGGCCTTCAGCAGATTTCATTTCAGGAACATCGGACTCATTTTTGCCAAAGTTCATGGAGAAAGCCATGCCAAGCCCTTTTCTGCTTCCAAGGCAGCATCTAGAGCTGCCCATCTCCCAGAACGATTGGTTTATTTCTGCTTCTGATCCGACCAACAAAGGAAACAACAAAAAACTTGTTTGTTGCAGTGATTTCTACTCATGTCTTTACTGCAGTGGAGATGTGCCTATAGGAAAGGAGGTATCCCAAATAAAGACAGGAATTCAGACTCATCTTGTTACCTTGCTTATTCGGTTCAGAGATTACTCAGCAAATCTTTTAGTGTCCTCAGGGAAGCACCTTCACTGACTTCACTTATCCGCAGTGGTGCATAAGGAGACAAAGTGAGTTTAGTCTTGTAGGTCCTGGGACTTGGAGGAGCAGCACTAGATGCCGTCCGCTTCCCAGGCCACTCTGGTGCACCCACTGCCTCAGAGATGCGTTTGAGAGGTGTCCTTTCAGCGCCATATGGTGAGCTAAAAAGTCTAGAAAGATAACTTAAAATATTTCTGTAGTAATTGAGTGATGATATTTCTGCTCATGGAGTTAAAATCTGAGCAAGAATCTTCCCAACTTCTTTTTCTCTTCTCTTCAAGCCTATCTAGCTACTACAGTTACCTCTGTAGTTATACCCTAGTGACTCCCAAGGTAGCAAGGCGTATGTTAGACTAAATGTCGTACATTAAACCTAAAAAACTCCAAGGGTTTTCTTGACAGCTGTTTTGCTGTGGCTGTGTGTATTTTTTTTGGCACGATAACATACCCAGTACCTCCAGCTTTACTGTCTCAAAGCTTTCCACCTGTAGCTCAGTGTTATTCCATTTACAGTGTTTCATTGGGACTATGGTTTGTCTGTGTCTGTATAAACTGGCAAAACTTATTTTAGTGATAGTGTGGGTTGTAGCACGACATAGTTATTCCACCCCAAACATTAAGGCAGAAGAATAAGGTAAGTGAAAGTATTTCTTTATGTCTTTTTTTGAGTGTCAGTAACGTGATGTTAATGCCATTAGGCTTTCATTTCTGCCTCTGAGCGGCATCGAAACTAGCACGTACCTCACCTACAGTAGAGTTAGGGCAGGGCCTGAGCAGTTTCCTTGTACCTGTGTGTCTAAATCGTAGTATTTGAAAGTCATAGGTAACGTTCTTGGGCAATTAGTGCTTTTAAATTTGCACAGGTAACCTTTGTATTTCCATGTGATCTTCTCAACTCCAGCCCTAAAACTGCATCATATCTATCACTGTATTAGGCGTTCAGGGTTTCTGGTGTGCCTAACACAACACGAAAGATCCCTCATTGCGTATGGATGAGCTAAGGCAGGAGATCTCCAGGCTTCGCAGCTGCTCTCACACGGGTGTGCTGGGGTGAAACGGGCCTTTGTCTTCCAACCAGTCAGTCCATATTCAGAAAAATGACCTCTCTGTGTTCACATCCCTCCTCTCAAGCAGTTTTCTGTTCTTCTGAGACTTTATAGCAGCCTGAGCCTTAATTCAGGCAAGTACTTAAGTAGGTGCTCGAGTGCCGCGTCCCTGGCAGTGTGGTGGTGACGAGGTGGCAGTTGGTGGTCCCGCTCCTGCCAGGCTCTGCCGCCATGGTGGCTGTGCACGTATGTGCTAAAACAAACCACCCCGTCCCTGACATTGAAGTGAAAAACCCTCATGGCTCTGCTAAAAATCCTTAGCAAGTGTGCTAGCAGGGACATTTGTAATGCACGTGAGCAGCTAGATTTTATTATCTGATACTTGGAATCAGCAGGACAAATCCATTGTGGAAATCAAGTTTTCCTTCAGAAAGCCAGTTTCAATGTAAACAAAGCTCTTGCCACCTTCCATGAGAGCAGGGGTAAGCAGGGGAACAGCCTGACTGGATAGAGGTTTTTCTTCATCCCATCGGGGCTGAACAAGGTGAGACGGGAGCTGCAGAGGCTGGGCTGGGCTCCGCGCTCCCCTTCTACCCCCTCGCCCTTGCAGAGCTCTGGACCTGCTTCAGTTCCCCCTCCAAACCACCTACTCTGAAAGCACCAGTGCTGAAACAAACACAAGTATTTTTGGTGTAAAACCAGCACAGGCAAGATCTGAAGAAGAGTGTTTCAGAAAAATAACAGGCTAAAACTATTGATTAGGTACGTGGTTGCTTATACAGTTAGTGATGGCTGTCATACCTTACTCATCCGTGAGGCCGCATACATCGGCTTGTCCTGCTTGCACCAGCAACTGGCTGTATGTTTCATACATAGGGGTAAAATGAACATGTGTTTTTTGGTGGCAGATTAAAGAAAAGACCAGATCCTCGTTGAACTGTCTCTATGCATTGAGAACTTTTAAGTAGGAAAAACACATTCTGGAAATATTTTGCTTGTATAACTGACTCCTGAGAGAGCTATTTATGATTTTTCTACCTGCTCTTGGCACAGGCCTTTTTTCTGTTAGAGGAGGTTTGACAGTTGCATGAGATCACACTTGGATTCGTGCCCTGCGAGCTAAAAACGCAGAGTCACTGCTTGTGAGGACAAGACTTCGCTGGAAAAAATAGAAACGTTGCCCTTGTGTTCATTGCTAATACTGCATCAAAAAGTGGAGCTTCGTCAAGCTTTAGTGTGCCTTAATATTCATACAGTCATTCCTTGCTTTTAAATAGAGCACTGCTTTAAAAAAACCAACAAACCAACAGATTTAGTAATAATCGCTTAATGCCCGAGACGTTCCTTTAAGATTAATAAATGACCGACTGAGATGAGCCGATAGCCTGAATTGGTGCCTCTGGCTGTTTACTGCTGCTGCTCATTAACTCAGAGTTGAAATAATTAATGTTATTATCAAATGACGCTAAACAAATAGACGAATCGCATTTTTTGTGTGTGTTCATTCTCACCGAAGTGGGAGATGGCAGCGCGCGTGCGCCTGGGAGAGGTGACCGTGTCCGCATGATGCGGCACCCCGGGCTGCACCGAAATCTCTTGTGCACAGCCCAGCAGTTCAGGGTGCCGTGGGTACCCATTTCCAGCTTCAGCTTCAAAATGTGGAAGAAATCACAGAAATCCCCCCATCGGTTGTCCAGGACCTGGTGGAATGGAGGAGCCGTTGGCTGGGTGGATGGTGGGATGTCCTGGCCAAGCCGGCATGCCACCGCCGGCGACACCCGGGACAGCTGCGCACAGGGACTCGTACTGCGTTTGAGGTGCCCTAATATATGGCAGGTGTATGTGCGGCTTCATCTGTATGTGTGGCTTTCTAGCAGGCTAGTGCAGAAACATGCTTAAAAGCTGTGGTTAGGCTGTTGCAAAACACAGCATTGATTGTATCCTTTAATTGGCCTCAGAAAGCCTCCTGGCCGCCTCTGTGCAGCCCAGTCCCCTGCTGCTCTGCCTAGGCTGAGGCTTCAAGTCACATACCTGGATCTTAGGGGCATCCACTTCATGTTAGAAACTCAGATGCCGTTAAGAAAATAAAAAGGCCTGTGGATCTGAGTGTACCATCAAACTGCCAAGGTGTGGCAGCTTCCTGCTTGAGCAAGCATTTGTAATTGAGGATGTTTTTTTTTAAAAAGGCAATTAAAATATTTCAAATTGAGAACAAAGTTATGATCAAGTGAAGTGTAACACAGATTCCTGAGTTTTGAAACAAACCCTGCTGTCTTGGGCTGCTTCACTGACACGGTCTAAAGGCAGGTGCCCCATGCCAGCAGTCTCTCTGCTTCATTTTTTTTTTTGCTTCGTGGTTACACAGCCCCAGCTCGTCACCAGCCCCATCTGCTTTTTGAAGCTGTTCTGCAATAGGACGTGGACTGTTACCGCTTTTCTCCCCCAAGTCGTTTATCCTTAGTAGAGCAATCTGTTTTCTCTCCTTTCTCTATGATTTGGCAGGGGTTTGCACTGTGTGAGAGTCCCGCTCTGCTGAGTCCCTGTTTGCTGCAGGCCTGATGGAAAATTCTCCATCAGGTTTTCTGCTTGGCTTACCTTGCTGGGGGCAGCCCATTGCTAGCCCACCTTCCTGGGCTAGCGCAGCTTGGCTGCCGTGCTCTGCCTCATCAGTCATTCTTCACCTGCTCCCTGGTCAAGGGGAAGGTCCCTGTCAAGGTTTGCAGGTCTCCTGTGTTGCCTCTTCTGTGTTTTTTTTGTTGAGTAACAGACTGGATCTCTCTAAAAAGAACTACTGTGTCCTGTTTCAAACCTCTGTTTTGGTGCTTGCTTGCAGCTGAGTGGCTACAGAAAAGTATTTCGCGTCGTCACGTAGGATAATACATCAGGGGGTAGATGATCTGAGATAGCTGTTGTTGATCTGCCTGTTTGTTTTTGTTATCTGTGTTACCTCTTATCTGAGGCTAAATTGACACCTCCCAGAAGACGGTCCAAGGGGGTGATGTTCTTGTTCCAGCTGGGGCTGTGTTTAAGTCCTGTTTTAGGAACTTGGTGTATGAGGACTTGCATTCGATACGGTGGTTTTAGATGTGTTGAAACTTGCTTTAGGCAAGGCTGTTAAATTGCATCCTGGGTAGCCCTCTTTGCCCAAGGAGGATGCCTGCCGTGTCGTTGAGTGATAACACCATACGCTGAGCCTAGAGATGAGATTTGTCACTTGATTTCACTGATCCTTTGATATCCTACTCGCTGTATACTTTTTCTAAAATAGACTCCTAGTTATGCATAGTATTTCTCTGCTATATGTTATTATGTTATTAGTTCAGACTAGTACATCTAAATATACTTATACACATCTTCTATTTACACACGGAAGTACAGCCTGTATTTATACTTCAGCAGTCCTCCCCGATGGATTGCTTGTGTCTTTAGTTTATGTGCATTTTCGTGTTTACTCCCTGTTTTGGCTTTTTGTCCCCAGCCTTTCCTTTTGGCTAATTAGGGACGATTTCTGTAATTTTGCTACCTTGTTCCTGAAGTACTCAGAAGGGCTGTTTTGTTCTTAGAATTGCTTTCAAGCTGACCTAATTCTTGCCAAAATATAAATTTTAGCACTCTTGCTATTTTTTAAGTGTTTGGAGTCAGGATTTCACAATTGGCTGAAGTCCCTGACAGGGGCACTCCTACATTTTCCTCTTGGTGCCTGTTCCCAGCTTCTTCAGTGGCTATAGCGATCGCACAGTCGATGGTAATGGCTTGTTTGCTTTTCGTGAGGTGAAGAGTCAGTCGGATCAGTGTCCTCACAGCCAGCAGCTAGAGCCAGCGCAAGGGAAGTGGCAGGACCCGTGTTGCAGAGGCAGTGCTGTTTTAGACCAGTTGAAGTCAGCTGCACCCTATCCCCAGATTCCCCGAAACGGCACCAGGAGGTAAGCAGGGCCTGCCTGTGCTTAGCTCGGCTACGCTGAGGCTGGGGGCTCAGTAGCTAGTTCAAGGCGTAATGCACGCTGTTACTTAGTGCATTGCATTGCCCACCTGAAGTCACCTATATGCCTATACTCTTCGTAGGGTGCCTGCCTGTCCAGTAATCCGTGTCAAGCCCTTCATGTAAGGGACTTGGATGAACTTGTCTGAGCAATGCAATGCTTTGGGGGTTATAGGATAGTAGATTTGGGGCCAAGCTTATGTCTCAGGAGGCAGGAGCACATGTGAGCTTAAGCTTTTTTGTCTGCTGTATCCTGAGGTGAGTCAAAGCCTCCGAGTGAGTGGTTTGGGTGGGTGTGCGTGGGGGACGGTGTCCGGGACAAACCACACGTGTCTGAGATCACGGGATGAGCAGGGCAGGTTGTGAGCGAGCCTGTTCGCTGCACTGCGTACGGGACCTGGCATAATGAGAGTCCAGGCTGGCTGCAGACTTTACGTGTTACCCAGGATGATCAATACTAGCGCTTTTAGCTGTTATCCCTTTGATTTATACTTTAAGCAAGTTGCACTGATTGATGTTTACCCTTCCCAGAAAGTAAATATGTGTCTGAAGGAAGTGTGAACAATTCTCCTATTTCTGCGCAGACCGTTAGTGTTCTGTCAGCTTTTCCATCGTTGCTCCAGAGTGCTTCCCCCGTCTCTTGTGCTGAATGCAGCCTCCAAAAAACATGTTAACAGGATTTGTTTGTTTGGGGTGTTCTTTTTTTATTTTTGCTTCCTGCTAGCCAGCAGTTCCACAGCAATGGGACATAGTAGGTTCACTCTGTACCTTTCAACAGAGGAGACAGTCCAAGAGATTTATTTGTTTTCAGTCTCTTCCTCTGCGGGACCATTTTCTTCTTCCCAAAAGTTCAGGTTTTTATTTGTTGTTAAATCTGTTCCTCATTTCTCCAACAACCATCTTGCTTGAACCATAAGTGCTGTGTTTAACATAGCTATGGCACTATAATAACTGTCTGCGCTTGCCAGGCGTAAGAAGGGGTTTCTGCAAAGATAACCACTTGGCCTAAGTAGGAGAGAACATGTACCAATAATGCAGATGTTGTGGTTTGCTTATGGGGTAGGATGATCCGCATACATGTGCTGTTCTACCACCAGCTGCAGAAATGACTGCTGGCCCCTTCTGCTAGACTTTCTCCTTACCCAGCTGCTTTGCTTTGTAGTCCTTGGGGTGTGCAAGTCTCAGGAGGCTGCATTTTGTGCCTGAGTGTCCTTAATTTAATGTTTTAGGGCAACTGTTGTTTCCTGGCTTTGCTCACTGTAGCAACTTGACTGAAAAGCATGAATTTTTGTAAATTGCTTATGGATCTTTTCCCTCCCTATATAAAAAAAACCCTATTAAAGTAAACATGCTAGGAGCTGTAATAAGAGGACTCTTATCTCTCAGAAGCTGTGGCCTGATGCTGTAAGTGGAGCTGTCGGTGGGGCTGTCTGGAGAGATGGAGTCAGTTCTCTGGTGAGCAGTTTGATGGTCTGGGATTTGTTGGTGTATATGTTACCCACTTTCCTGAAGAAATTCACACCCTGATGTTTGCTGGGATCACTGGAGAAAGGAACAAGGACAGCTAAAACCAACATGAAGCTGGTGAACAAGAACTCAGTCAGTGGAACCGTACCCAGGGATACGGCCCTTGAGCCAGAGAAACCTGCTGTGCAGCCTGGAAATGTGAAAACTGTCTGGTTGTGTCAGGAGATTGTGCTTCCAGGGATTAATTACTGCTTTTTAATCACTGCTTTTCCCTCCAACTCCTTCTTGCTAATCTTTTGTATTTAGGTTTGCATTGATGGTTAATCAGATTTCAGAGCAGGTGACCCTACAGAGCAGCAGGTGATGTCCATCTGCCAGGTGAGGCTGGGTCTGGCCAAGCTGAAAAGGGCACCGTCAGCTATTTATCTTGGCAGTAGGTAGCCTTGTTGGGTTTGTGTGACAACAGAGGTAAGAAGCTTGAAAACGAAGTCCCTCTCTCTAACAGCCCTTGTCACTGCCTAGGAAAGCAGCAGGCAGGATGCATCTAGTTTGTATCTCCTCCCTCTCCGCCCCAGCCCTGTTTTTGGTAGCAAAGCCAAATGGGGACAGATGATATTTTAAGAGTCAGCAGCCAGGACTCACTTTCTTTCCTGGTTGCTTATCTTTTGCAACTCTTCAAATACATTTATTTTTCAGTAATTTCAATGGAATAATTGTGAAAAATGCAAAGGACAATTTTAGGAATACAAAAACACCTCCCTCTGAAACGATACGTGCCTCAAACCGGGTGTTGCTTCTTAATTGGTGTTAGCAGCCGGAGAAACACCGTGCAGATTCTGCAGGTTCCTCTCCTCTGTTGCAGACTGTTAGTCCTTAGTCTGTTGTATTAATTACTGACCGTATCCTATTACAATGCCAGAATTTTTATTAATCTTCCCGTAAGAGCGCCCTGGTGGGAAGCATGTACGAACCTGAACACGTGCCAGGTGCAGGAGGGCCCTTGCTGGGTTTTGGAGCGTTGCTCTCCTACTCGCTATGGCCCAGTAAGATGCTAGTTCACGCGTTTATTTAAATGATAATTGTGATACTAATAAAACTTCAAAGGAAAAACTGAGATGTAAAAATTTTTATGTTGTGTGGTGGTGTGGGGTTTTTTTTTTGTTTGTTTATGTTGTTGGTTTTTTTTTTTTTTTGTGTCCTTCAATGCTGTCAAACTTATCAAGGAATATATCAAACAAAGGAAAGTAAAAGTAAAGTGGTTTTGTTTAAAATGGTCACGAACAGTTAAACTCTCTCCAGCAAGCAGTGGTAGCAGAACAATCCCTTAATAAATATCAAAAATGAAGTATACATTTAT